AATAAGAGGAAATAAATATCGTTCGATAAAGAGGATCAGGTTTGACTGGTGTGACAGGTGGGAAATCACAAAAGCAAAACAATGGAAGCTGAAAAACATGATTATTCATCACCTGTTATAGAAATTATGCAGAAATAATATGTTGTTGGAAAAACAGTTTCACCGGGTAAATTAACCTGTTTTCATTTTCTTTTTTTAAAATTGTATTTAAATATATATTTTTAATGTTTCCCCATGTTGATTTTTAGGTTTTGAACTTAAAGCACTTTGAGCTGCCTTGTTGTTGAAATGTCTTGCCTATTATCAGCTACATGTACTTACACTGTAATAGTAGAAGTACTCATGTTGCAGTAAAATGATCCTGTCATAGTTTCTCTATTACGTCTGATGTTGCATTTAACTCCATTAGATCCTGTGGTAATTATAACCTGCAGCAATGCATCATGGTCTATAAGATCATCATGCGTTTGAGGAGTCGCTGAAAAACAGACAAACAGCCAGTTTTCAGCTTTGTGACGAAGCCTTTTCCAGCTGATCTGAGGAGGCTTAAGAGTTTATTCAGCTGAAGGAGGAGAGGGAACTGTTCATCCTGCAGGTTATCACCAACACGTACCTCGAATACTAAGTAAATGTACTTGGTTACTTTCCAACAGTGGAGGATGGAAACCTCAGCTGGGTTTTCATTTCGTTCTGTATCGGAGGATTTATATTCTGCAAATATCTGCTGCTCAAGAATGCACAAAGACACAAGTGTGTGTGTGTGTTGAAGCATTAAATTGACCACCTGTTGCCATCCATTCTCAAACACACACACTCCCCTCATTCTTTTCTTTCTCAAGCAAACACACTGAAGGGGGAATATCTGTGTGTGTGTGCTTTGGTATGTAAGTGAGGAAGACACACACACACTCAGTAATCCAGGCATGTCAGTTCCTGTCTTTGCGGAGGTTGTGTTCGTCGCTGTAATCTCTGGTAAAAATGATCCTGCTCGTTGTTTCCCGCCGCCTGCCAGTCGAGTGTGTGGGCAGAGCGACCTGAAGGTCCGTCGCTACAGCAACAGGCTGAACAGGAAGAAGAAGAAGGAGAAGAGACAGACGCAGAGAGGGAAACTCACAACATGAAGAGGTCTGGCAGCAGAACGCAGGAGGAAACCTGAAGAGATCAAATCAGCAGAAGAAGAAGGAGGAAACGAGAACAGGAAGCGGCCGCACACCGTCAGCAGGTAGGAACAGGAAGCCAGACGCAGGTCACATGATTTAAAGTTCTCGCTGCTGCAGGTCCAGGTGCTGACACAGTTCTGCAGCGGTCTGCAGAAACAGGTCCAGGTCGTGTTTAGCTTAGCTTAGCACAAAGACTGGAAGCAGAGGGAAACTGTTAGCGTGGCTCCCTCAGAAGAGAAACTCTGATTTGTAGTTTCTACAGGCAGCTGGTTGAGTCCAGAGACCTGCAAGTGTGCTCAGCTGCAGCAGACACAAAGTCCCCCGAGGTCAGGAGGTCAGGGTGGAGGACCGCTGGTCACTTCCTGTTTCCTACTGTCACCATGTGATTCTTTTAGCCACCGTCGTTCAGTGAGCAGCGACAGAGCGAGTCTCTGGTGGAGAATCAGCAGCTGAATCTGCAGCTTCACGGAGCTTTTTAGTGACTTTCAGCTCGTTTATCTGTCCGGCTGCAGCTTCCTGCTCTGGTTCATTCTCAGCGTTCTCAGAGTGTCGTTCTCAGAGAAGAAGAAACTGAACGTAGCCGCCGTCCACGAGCTGCTCAGTCTACACGTTCTCTTCCCAGCTCGTCAGCTCGGCGCTGCTTTTAACTCCCTGTTTACCCTGTAGTGTCGTTTTTAGCACGTGTAGGGCTCCGTGGTCCAGTTAACTACTATAAATATGCAACATCCGGTTAGACTTTCAAAATAAAACTAGTAGTTAACATGAAACGTCATAATTTGGTTAGGTCCAGGGGGCCGTTCCTCGTGGGTCTATTTCATGTAGCCGGCTATGTAAAAATGATAAAATATTCTTTGTGTGGTTCATCAACAGTGATAAATTATCCTAAAGTGCCGCGAGGTGCGAACAACTCGGCACAACACCAGTGAAGCCGGAGCTCAGTCTCTTCAGCAGGTGTTCCTCTGCTGCCACTGCACACATGCACACTGACGCCCCAGGGTTAGGGTTACAATTTGGGATTTATTCACTTAAACATTTATTGAAAGTTTTATTCTTTTTACATGTTTATTTACAGCATTAAAGGTTGAAATGTATATTGTAACAGGCTGTATATTAACTTTGGGAGAAAACTGTTAGTTCCATGTAAAATCAGACA